GGGTGCATCAACGAAAGTACCTGGAGGCATTGGCTGCCAACTGTGGGCAGAGTGAAGGCCATGTGGCTACACCCTTTCCCTCTGGGTTCAAGTGTGTGAAGGGACCAGAGGAGGAGAGCGTTGGTGAAGAGGAGAGGCGCCGATTTCACTCGTTGGTGGGCAGCCTCATGTATGCGGCGGTAAACACCCGACCGGACGTCGCGTTTGCTACCGGGCAGCTGGCTAGGGTTGTGCAATGCCCTAATGAGGAGCAGGTAGCAGCTGGAATGAGGGTGGCCAAGTATCTTGGCCAAACACCGACCGTTGGGCTGCAATACTCGGCGGCGGCACAAAGGCGCCAAAAGGGCGCGGATGGTGTTGAACCCGGGCGTTTGTTCCTCACCGCCTACTCGGATGCTTCATATGCATCAGAACCAGAGGACATGACAAGTGTGGGAGGCTTCATATGCTGTGTTGGTGGAGGCCCAATTGCTTGGGAGAGCAAGAAGCAGGTTGACCAAGCTTTGAGCTCGGTGGAGTCCGAGCACATGGCACTCTTCCGTGCCGTACGGGAGATTGTGTGGCAGCGGCGTTTGTTGGCTGAATTGGGGGAGGAGCAGCAAGGACCTACCCCACTGTACTGTGACAGCCAGGGTGCCATTGCTCTTGCTAAGAACACTGTGTTGCATGGACTCACGAAGCACATGAGGGTGAAGTGGCATTGGACGAGGAGCATGGTAACCGCGGGTGAAGTTGAGTTGCGCTACGTGAAGACCACGGGGCAGCCGGCTGACATGATGACCAAGAGGCTGGTGGAGCAGCAGCATTGGAAGTGTTGCAAGCTGGCTGGGATGGCTCTGAACTGAGAGAGCAACATATCCTAAGGCCAACAATCCGAGGGGGAGTTTGTTGGTGCAACCCTACGGTTTGCACTCGGCTTGTTGTCCGTGTGCGTGAATGTGTGTGTGTATGGAATGGTATGAGGGCATGGGATAATATATATTTCATGCTTATAATTGTGTGTGAATGTTGAGTCATGATGTCGAGTGTGTGTGTCGAGTCAATAGCGAGTTATCGCTAGACGCGTGTTACGCGGTCGTTTGTGTCTCGCGCGCGGTTTCTATTTTGTCGTGCGCGGTTTCTATTTTGTCCTGTGTCGAACGTTCGGCGTGTCGCAGGTGTGTGCAGCAGACCCATCAAGAACTCAAGGATGCGTTTGTGATGAAGAGCCCGAGCCTTGGTGTCAAGCCTCAAGTGATTTCGAAGCTTGCCAAAAGGGTACACCTCAAGATATTGAAGATAGTTACATTACTTTGTGTAGTGTAACATTTCACTTGGTGTAGGCCCTAGTGAAGGGTAGTTTCGAGACCCTTCGTGGTTGGAGACAGTGTGGCACTGTTCCACATCACTGTACCTCGGCTCTTGGGGTTTGTAGGAGCTGGGAGTCATTCCCAAATCGTAACTCTTCCTATCTTGTGTTCTAAGACTATAGTGGCTGCCATAGTACCGTTCGTTCAAACCGACGCTGTGTCGTCAATTCTTTATCAAATCGTGCAATCTAAATTGCTAATTGTAGACGACGTGAAGACGCTCCAGATCCAATTTGAATCAGGTCATTTGCAGCTGTGAGCAGAACGCTATCAACGTTTGAAGCCGCTGTGCAGAAATCCGTCTGTGCTCTCTATCTTTCGTTTTAGGCACATTCAAGCCTATTGTGACTATAACAGAGCGTGCTGCGGGTCGCGTCGCATGTCCTGCAGGTGAGGGAGGGACACAAGAGGCGGTATGATACAGGGAGAGTTTCTTGGAGGCAGTTCAAACGGAATTGGATGGAGGAGTTGCAGCAAACAGGTCCAATCCAAGGACACCTGCAGGTCAGGTCAAACATACAAGAACAGGGTCCAAGTACAGGTGCAGAAGAAGTGTCAGGCAAGACAGCATACAAACATACAATATGAACGGGTTGTGACCCTTGGCTTGACAATGCTGCGACTCACCCGCAAGCACCAGCTACAAATGCACAGAGACACACCTCTCTGGATCCGCTTCACAACTACACTGATTACCTTTCGGATAGGCTGACGCAGCCTTGACAAGTCCCAACACTTACTCTAAAGCTGGGCTGACGCACGCAATCATGGTAGTCTTTGAGTTGCCTCCTAAAGAGTCCTGCATAAAAGATGAAATGGTGGGGAAAGGAAGGATAGAGGCATCAGGATAGGGACTGAGGGGCGGCTGTTGAGTCGAATCAATACTCACCACCCAGTGATTCTTGCATACGACATGAAATGGTGGTGCCTAGTACGTGGGAAATAGGAGTCAGGAAGGGGAGTGAGGGTGGGGGTGGGCACTTTTTCATACTTCAAATGACAAGAGAAACTACGAGACATGACAGCAATCTGGAGGAGGGAGAGAGTTCAACTTGAGGAGGAATACAAACAAGGCAGTAGCAGGATCCTTTTCGCTTTCCCAAATGCTAGAAACGAACTGGTCTCACAGGAGTATTTCACCTAGAAAAAAGAGAAGCGTTCACCTGGAGGAAGCGGGTGAGGCGGGAATCACGGTACGGAATGTAGCGAGGCTTGTTCTCATTCAGCGATTCCACTAGCTGCATGATCACCTTGCTGTGAGACCAGCACATGCAAACAGGCAAATGCAAAGGCACAGGCAAAGGCACGGTCGGGCGTGATACACAAGAGTGAAATAAGAAACAGCAGGCGAGTGCAGTGTGAAAAGGTATACACAGGTAAGGAAGGGAGGTGACGAACGGGAGGTGAAATGAGAAACAGTAGGCGAGTGCAGCGTGCAAAGATATACACAGGTAAGGAAGGGAGGTGACGAACCCGAGGTGAAATGAGAGACACTAGGCGAGTGCAGCGTGCAAAGATGTAAGGAAGGGATGTGACGAACCCGGAGAGAAATGAGAACCAGTAGGCGAGTGCAGTGTGCAAAGATATACACAGGTAAGGAAGGGAGGTGACGAACCCGAGGCAGGAGAGGGACGAGTTGATGGTGCACGCTTCCTTGAGCCGATCACGCTCCGCCCCTGATTCCTTTTGCCTGCCAGGGGTGGAGAACGGTGGATTGGGGTGCAGTGCACGAGAGGGGCGAGGAAGAAAGGCATTACAGGAGCTGCGTGAGGAGTGGAGTCATGTTGCGACAGGGACATGGCATGGGGCGGCCAAAAGATATAGCATGGGGCTGTGGCATGGGGTGATTGAGTGCCCCATGGGGTGATTGAGTGCCCCATGGGGTGATTGAGTGCCCCATGGGGTGATTGAGTGCCCCATGGGGTGATTGAGTGCCCCATGGGGTGATTGAGTGCCCCATGGGGTGATTGAGTGCCCCATGGGGTGATTGAGTGCCCCATGGGGTGATTGAGTGCCCCATGGGGTGATTGAGTGCCCCATGGGGTGATTGAGTGCCCCATGGGGTGATTGAGTGCCCCATGGGGTGATTGAGTGCCCCATGGGGTGATTGAGTGCCCCATGGGGTGATTGAGTGCCCCATGGGGTGATTGAGTGCCCCATGGGGTGATTGAGTGCCCCATGGGGTGATTGAGTGCCCCATGGGGTGATTGAGTGCCCCATGGGGTGATTGAGTGCCCCATGGGGTGATTGAGTGCCCCATGGGGTGATTGAGTGCCCCATGGGGTGATTGAGTGCCCCATGGGGTGATTGAGTGCCCCATGGGGTGATTGAGTGCCCCATGGGGTGATTGAGTGCCCTGATAACAGGCAAGAGAATCGTGTCTTTTGCGGCGCTCAAAATTCAAGACATGGCAGGGGAGTTGTGTATTGTGAGCTGGCAGCGGCTCAAACTCTTTTCAAACGCAGGTTGGGAGGATCAAAGTACCTTTCAGAGCCTGCCAGGTCAACGAGGTGGAGTCGACTTTTGTGGCACTGCAGTGGTGAGGAGGCATGCACGTTTGCACACGCAGGCATGCACACATGAAAACATGCAAGCACGGAAGGCATGCACACATGAAAAAGTGCAAGCATGGAAAGGCATGCATTGAGTGTGCTCACAGTGCTTGAATGCCCCAAGCCTATCAACACTCACTGCGCTACCAATGCTGCACGCGTAATTTTGACTTAATGCAGAACCCAACTTTGCACCTTGAAGCCTGTCAACAGCACCCCACTGTGTTCCAAACCTACTAGGAATCACCGTGCTTCAATTTGAACCCTACCAGAACAGAACCCACCGTGGTCTTGATGTAGCATGTGAAGACACGATGGGAGCGGCTACTTTTCTCGTTCATGTTTGTCGCCTCCATCCGCCGGTGCTTCATTCCCTGCCTCGCACACACCAGTCAATGCACACAGACTGTTACAACCCCATTACCCCCCTAAGAACAACAGAGAATGACTGTCAAAGCTTGCTATACATTATTGACGCACTTCACACAAGCTATCTATGAATCACCATCATATTTCAACCCCTCTCATGGCTGGAAATTGGAAGGGCAGCATTAGAAGCTGTCTCTGACTCAAACCACAAGGCATTTGTGTGAAAAGGTGCTATCAGACAGCTCACCTGTTTGATCGGCTCCATGCATTTAGCACAAGAAAAGCCACCAAAGAAACTATATACTTCTAGCTCCACCCACAAGCCAAGCCATCAGTACAGAAGAGCTAGCTCGCCCACTCACCCGCTGGATAAGCTCCATGACTTGAGCGAAGCACACGACTGGATGTTGGGTGAGGTTATCCACAAACACATCGTCGGTGCCCTTTCAAATCTGAGGGAAACATGGGAGGGAACAGCGAGATTTCACTAGAGCCCACAAAGAATTGACGGGGTTGGGGAGGGAGGGAGGCTCGCCAAGCACGATATTCTGCTGAGGCCCACACAGATTTGAGGGGGTGGGGGGGGGGAGAGGGGGGGGGGAGAGGGGGGGGGGAGAGGGGGGGGGGAACCACACAGATGACCAGGCGGGGTTCAAAGGGCTACGAACAGCACGACACAGCCCAAAGGATATGAGTGGCTGGCACAACACAGCCCAGGTGCAGCACTCACCTCCAGTTTGCCAAGATTGGGGTCGGGGTTGGGGTTGAGCAGGTCAGACAACTTGTCGTTGTATATCTCAAGATATGAGCACGTGCATGTGAAGGCAAAGCTCTCACCCCTCCGCTGCTTCTCCTGGCAGACGGGAGGGGGAAGGAGGGGCGGACAGGCATCAAATCAGAAAACAGGTCAGACAACTGGTCGTTGTAGATTTCAAGGTATGAGCCTGTGTAGGTGAAGTTAAGGCTCTCTCCTCCCTATGCTGCTTCACCTGGCAAAAGGGGAGGAAGAGGGGCCGGGAGTGACGGAAGGAGGCGGAGGCAGTTTGGGAAAAGGGGAGGCGAGTAAGTAGGTGGCCATCTGAAAAGCGAGGGAAGTGCAATAAAGGCATTAGCATCGGGCAAGGGATGGTGGCATCGAATGAACAGCCAGCATGAAATAGTCAGCAAACAAAAAGTGGGATGCGTCATCAAACATACACCTCTCATATCTTAAACCCCTTTTTGGAAGTTCCGGCTCCCAATTGAGCTGCACGCATGCAGGCAGCAGGATGCGAGAAGTGGGACACGCACCTGTTTTAGCTGGGTAAAGAGCAGGTGACACATGCGCGGGATCATCCCCCATCTCGTCCCAACCTCCACGTCAGCCTCCACTCGCATCCGTTCCACGTCAGCCGTGTCCACCTCAGCTCCAAACATCGTGTACGTCTTCCCGCTACCCGTCTGCGATGCGTCACAAGGTAGAGGGAGTGGGCAAACGAAGGGAGGAGAAGGAGAGTGTATTGTTGAGGAGGAAAAAGTAGGTATGGTTAAGACTGCGTCAAGGTTGTCAATGCTCAAGAACGGGGGCAGGGACAAGAGGATGCACAGGAGCGATAGGAGAAAGAAGAACGGGATGACAGCTGATGCTATACACCACAGAGAGGAGGGGAGGGCGCACTTGGGCACAGAGGGTAGGGGAGGGCGCACTTGGGCTCAAGGGGGAGAAAAGGGCGTACTTGGGCACAGAGGGGAGGAGAGGGCGCACTTGGGCTCAGAGGGGGGGGGAGGACGCACCTGGCCATAGGCGAATATTGTGCTGTTGTAACCGGCAATGCAGTTGTCCACCATGGGCCGCCCTGCCAGCTCAAACAGCTCCTCCTGTGGGGGCAGGTTGGAGAGGAAAAAGAGGAGAGGGGAAGGGGGAGGGTGGGGGGAAAAAGTAGGGGGAGCGGGCCTGTGAGGCGCCTCAAAATCAGCCAACTGAACTGGTTGATTTGGCAAGCGAGGGGGAGGTGGAGGGGGAGGGGGAGGGGGAGGGGGAACATCCGAGGTCGAACATCCTTCACATGCCTGCAGTGCGCTCTCTGCTTCCCCCTCTCAACGCTTCCTTTCTCTTCAAGAGCTCCCATCCCTGTGCCCACCTGCGAGGCAGTCTCTCCGGCCACATGGTCGAAGGTGAACTGTTTGCCTGCGAGAGCGAGTGACTGCGGACCGCTCTTCACCACACAGCGCTCCTTGCGCTCGTCCATCAGGTGACGCACCCTCACCAACACCTGTCGGGAGAGGAGGAAGGAGAGCGATTGGGTGGAGTGAGAGGAGGAGGAGGCAAAACGAGGAAGAGAATGGGAGAAAGTGAACGAATTGGTTCATACGAAGTGACCTCCCTCACGCGCCTCACATTCTGTCCTGCCGTGACCTTCCCCACAATCACCTGACGTCAAGCAGCTGGGCAGAAAGAGAGGTGAATTGGAGGAGCAAAGAGGCGAAACGATAGGCGAAACGAAGGCGAAACGATAGGGAGGCGAGGAGGCGAAACGATAGGTAGGCGAAACGATAGGGAGGCGAAACGATAGGCGAAATGGATGTGAAATGATAGGCGAAATGGAGGCGGAAAGAGAGACGAAACGGATGCAAAAAGGGAGACGAAATGGAGGTAGAAATAGGGATGAAACGGAGGGGGAAAGAGAGACGACATGGAGGTGGAAATCAAATGCATGCAAAGCGGTACGTTCTCTCCTTCGGTGACCTCGCTCATGCCTCACATTCTCCGGAAAAGGAAGGATGGGGACAGATTGGTAGAAAAGTCCATACTTGAATATTTGAATCATTTGAGGCTGTTCCCGGTAACCGCCTGGGTGTCATGGCGGCGGTCCTTGGAGTCTTAGCAGCGGTCCTTGGAGTCTTGGCAGCGGTCCTTGGAGTCTTGGCAGCGGTCCTTGGAGTCTTGGCAGTACTTGAGAGACCTGCAGGTGGAGCAATGCTTAGAGTCCTGACTGATCTGGTGCGATCTGAAAAAAGGGAGGGAATGGGGAGAGGGGGGACGCACAGAACAACAACGGATCAGGGTCAACGAAGTAAGGAAACAGAATAAACCTCAGCCGCAAAAATATTGAAACGGGGAGAGGTGCAGATGCTGTAGACAAGCCTCGTCCATCCATGAGTGCCTTGCTGCGGACTCGGCACTCACTCGACGACTGTGGCGTGCGGACCGGGATGTTCTTGGTCAGCTGTGTAAAAGCTACTCTCGGCTGGCCTCGCTGCAAAGAAATGCCCCCCCCCTGCTGCGGAGTTCCGGCTTGCACCAGTCGCCGGAAACGGCTGGGAGTATGATATGCCTTGCCAGATTCGCCGTCTTGCAGTGCCGCTGCTCTGTGATGGTTTGCTCTGTGATGGCCTGCTGATGCAGGCGGCGGAGGCACAATGTCCTCCATTCTGAACCTGGGAGAGAACCATAAGCGAGGAAGAAAAACATGGAAATCTGATGCGTTGAAATAAACTTTTAAATGAACAACGCAGAGGGTTCCCTACCCACGCCTGAACCCGGAGCGACGAAAAGCCCACTCGGTGATATGCAGAAGATTATGCACTCTGAATGGGCCCGCTCTTAGAGGTCTAGAACAGGGGCCTTGAATAATCCATCGAACGACTTATTTCTTTAAATCACTCGTCACCGCTACTAGTAAGGAATTATCTGGCTAAGACTTTTTCGCAACTGCTGACTTTTTTTACAGGCTGTAATTTTGAGTCCCACTGACAAAACAATGAGGAATGGGGGTTAGTAAACCGTTGGGAAGAATCGCCAAAAAAATGCAGGCAGCCTATGCGATGTCACCGTTTCCGCAATGTGCTTGCGGAATGATCAAATAGGCCACCTACTCCGAGCTGATTATGATCGCGTGCAAACTTTTCCATCTACTCGCAGCCTGAAAGTCTTGAAAATTACCATTCGTGTGACAAGTAGTCGGAGCCGCAGCCTGGCTCATCGGCGGAATTCCCAAGGGTGATCGTTTCAGATCTGACTTGTCGGACGCTGAACTGGGAGGTAGAGGCGATTCAGTTTGAAGGGTTCTCGCCATGCACTTTCTCATTCCCCTACCTTTCAGCTTCCGGTTTAAGAAAATCTCCAGGCGTGCGGGTTCGTCCTCCGATGTCATGCAGAGTAAAACTTGAAGGCAGAGTGCTGTCAAACAAACCGCGGCGTAGTGTCTGTTGGCAGGCGCGGCCGCGGCTACTATATAATCTGGCGTGACCGCTGCTCACAGACCGACAACATCACTCATGGAAACTATTCACTGCACTCTGGCACTCTTTCGTCTGTCTTGATCTACTTTCAGTGCTGAAGTTATCTGTCCAAAAAAGCAAACGAGCCATGCGGACTGTGTCAAATTCGCCACTGCTCACATGTCTCTGTTTTTCGACCGTGCTGGTTTCCCCCCAATATACCCGACATTTTAGTCCACCTGGCTGCTCAGCGACACTTGTTACCCCCAAATAAATTGAAAATGTGTCGCCAGCACATAGCCTGTGAAATACCTTAGGGCGTATTCGGGCTTTGTGTCAAGAACACTTTGTGTCATCCGATTTATTATTTCCCGAACCGCGGGTTTTCCGATTCGGCCTCGGGTGTTCCGATTCGGGCTGGCACAAATGTCGCAATGCGTCCCAGCGAAATGGTCTTGAAAGCACGTTCACGCCCTCATATCGTTCAGAGTTCGCACGTGCGACAACTTTCCGCTCACACACAATGTGGCCGTCAATCCCCCCACGTTCTTGAACTCTGGCAGCCAACTCCCAATTTGCACGTCGGTCCACTGCAGTTCCTCAACTCCTCGCTACCAGGAGGTTGCCAATGCACAGAAGCGGGTGCACAAGTGCAACAACTTCAGCCCTCCAATTGTATAAAGGAAACGCAAGAACAAACACAACAAATATATTTCCAGTATTTCCAGTCAACAACATGCTCACCAGTCAGCAGCTCACCCTTCTAGGGTGCCTTCTCCAGCTGTGGCACATGTTCTTCTCTGAAACTCTCCTACCGGCTGCTGCAACTGCTACACAGTCTTGGCTGACTTTGGTGGAACATGGCAGCATGGAGGGAGATGAGGGTGACGAGCATCGCAAAGAGCTTTCCCGTGCGCGGAAGAGGAGGCGAGTCGAACGTATGAACGAGTGGGTGTCAGACATCGACCTCATGTCGGAGCATGAGTTTCAGGACATATTCCGTATCGGCAAGGAGGTTATGTCAAGTTGGGATTCGCCTTACGGAGATGCCTACGAAGCTTCTTCCAGTACTGCGAGCCCTGCTTGCCTTGCATCGACTTTAAATCTTCGCGTGTGAACCATCGGGCGGCGGCCAACTCCGTCATCTCATCCTCCGTCCACATCTTCCGCTTCTTCTTGGTCTTTACGGCCTTATGCTTCTGCCTCTTGTTGGCATTAGCGAGGCTGCCGCCAGGGCTCTCCGCGACGAGCTCGGTGGCGTCTGGGACGGGTTCCTCCTCGCTGTCGGGAGATTCCATTGAAGCGTCGGAGTCCGCATCGCTATCGCTGCTCTAGTATGCGTAAAATTCTTCAGGCTCGGACTCGGAGCTCGCCAAGTCTTCCGTATCATGTTCCTCGAGAGTTTTGTTGTCGGGATCACTGAAAGGCTCGCCGCCACGGGTCTCCTGTATCTCGTTCCGGATGCGAGCACGTCGGTCGCCTAGCTCCTGCCGACGCCTCATCCACATGACGTACGGGGGGTCCTGCGTGGGGACCTCATCGACCTCCTCGGTAGCCTTCTTCGACGCCTTGGTGTACTTCCGCTTAGGCGCCATGATGGAGAATAGCCTGACTACGACACAAGAAGGTGCTAGAAGCGTGGGAGGCAGGCGGATGACTGGTGCATTCACGCTCTCAACTCCTGCTGTTTATAGTCGTAACGTGCACTGGCAGCTCGGAGTGTAAGCGAAATACGAAGTTGTGGAGTGACTACGATCTAGAGTTTGGGCGCCAATGTCGCTCAGATCCGCCATGGTGAAGCGCGAATGCGTAGCGCTGTGATTTAGATCTGGTGGTTACGAGGGGAATTAGACTGCTGAGAATCTGAAATAGTGGTTCTGTGTGAATTCGAAAGGATGGTGACTTCGAAGGAGTGGTTTTGAGACCAAATGTAGTGGCTGACATTGACAGCTGACTGTCAATTTTGAGATCGCTGGGCCGTTTGCGATGGCGGGTGAATCAAACGTCCGTTGTCAGTCCTGACATTCCTAAACCAATGAAAATGTGGTTTGATTAGGCGAGATGTGGTTACCCTCGCCAAACCAGCACCGCACAATCGCGTGGGAAATGTAGTCGTTGACACGAGCTGTAACATTTTGGCTCGTGTCCTCCCACATTTTCGGAAGGCCCAAAGCCCGGAAGACCCAAAGCCCCGAATACGCCCTTATTCTTGCGGACTAGTGACAGGCTAAATATCGATGTTTAGCTAAATCCCTCTGGGCTCTGGCGACTAGCGACTTACCGTATGGCCCCGGATATAAGCGCAGGCCTATTAAAAGCGCATGCGCTTGTATCTGGAGCAATGCGCTTATGGCCGATCCTCAATTATAAGCGCACCTCTTATAAAACCCTGATATATTATAAGCGCATGTGTAATTTTATTTATAATTCTTCATTAAAACGGTAACGAATCTCAGTTTTGCAGCGAGGCCACAGCCCATTTTCGCTTACATTGACTTTCGAAGACCTCTCACATCTTGCGCGTCCAGTCAGCACGAGCTGGCACGCCCTCAAAGTGAGGTGTTACACTGTATTTTGCCTCTGGGCGCTCGCGAAGAATCGCCCGCGCGCGATTTTGACATGTGACTTTCTACAATTTCGATTCGATTGAAATCTGAAGGATGAGATGTACAATTTGGTGCATTGAAATATATATTTGTATTTGTTATATTATAAGCGCATGCGCTTATAATTTTTACTCAATTATAAGCGCACCCCCCAAAAAAACACTGTTTTATTATAAGCGCAGGTGCGCTTATATCCGGGGTAATACGGTAAGTTCGGCTCGTGTCAAACTTCCCGTCAGACTTCGTGTCTTAGTGACCAGGGGAAAATCTTAGCTGGATGACCCTGTTGGGAACAAACAATCTTAAGCGCCTCTGTCGTGTCGAAACACCAAGGCACAAGCGAAGCAGAGCATATCGAGGCACCAGCGAGTCAAACCTCGGAGGTTGAAGTAACCGCTGGAGGTTACGCGAAAGTCAAAGGTCAACGACCTTCGACTTGACAAATGCAGCGCGACAGCAAGGACACACAACTGACTCGACATTGAGCAGTTGCCCGAGTCGCACTGTATCGAACCGTAACAGTAAAACAGTTTAATTATATCTCTTCGTATTCTTTGTACTCTTATATAAACCTTTGTACTTGCTTGTTTTAATCAACTTACTTTGCCCTCACATACCAGCGCAAGGTGGTTCAAGGACTTCATTTAAACGCTTCCGCTACTACATCACTCTACCCAGAGTTTAACCCTACCAAAGATCCTAAGGGGCACTCAGCCCAACATGGTATGAGAGCTGGTTAGGGTTAAAATTGTTTCTCCTTAACACCTAATACACCAAGAGACATGTCTACCAGAAAGGAGAGGAGCTCCTCCAACGGCTCTCCTGGTACTACTCCTACTCCACCTCCTGCCTCTGGCCTACAGACAGAGGAAGGCACAACAACGAGACCGGCAGCTGGGTCTACTGAAACACCCGCAAACCAAGGCGCGGGCTTCGATCCAAGCATGATGGAGAAGTTCTTCTCCTTCATGTCCTTCTACGAGCAGCATCAGCAAGGAGCA